AAAGATATAAAAACATTTCTACTTTCCACAACAGGGATCCTCATTTACATATACACTTTATCAGAACATAACTTTATCATAGCAGAAAACTCATTACCATAAATGGCTTCAACTGAGGAGTTTCATGCAACTTAATCATCATAACATCAGTCATCTTCAGTGTATTTGTACCTCAGGTAGTCTGAAGTCTTCGATCCCAGACTCCAACATGTGTTTCAGTCCACTGTTCATCTGTTTGGCGTTCTGGACCTGAAGAATAGATGAGAAAGTCAAAGGTGAGAATTAACAAAACTCCCAGAAAACCCTTTAAAACCTGAAGCTGTTTTCAGATGTCTCACTGGGATTGGCCATTTCCCAGTCATTTGGATTGGACATTTTTTACCATCGCAGATTCATGGTGGTGATTCATGGTCAGCTGTGGTAACTGTTCAATACATTTCCACAGAGATGCGTGACCTTTGTCCTGCCTCCTACACATCATACTGAAGAAACACCATCACCTATATCAGACCTGGGCATTGTCTGCTCCTTGTCCAGGCTGTATGAAGTCAGTAGGAAAGTAGGATTCAAATGTAAATAAGTATTTAGCATTTATTTGTCCCATTTCAGCTGCCAAACACTCTTTGATAAACTCTGTCTTTGAAAAAAAGTCTATAATAAAGAGAATGCAAAAAACAGAAGAACGTTGAGGAAATATTTATCAAACTTTATTGCTGTCATTCTGAAGGTCACTAGGTTTTTTTTTTAGTTGACATACTTCAGTGTGTCCAAACAAATGCAGCTTCTCTACGAATATATTGTAACAGACATTTAGGAGGGATGTATGCTAACCTCGAAAGAAAAAAAAAACAAAATTTGATGCAGAATGTAGAGTTGTATGGTCTAAGAGTATTTAGTAACTGAAGTAAGAGGTAAAGCTGTGTTCTTTGTTTGTGGAGAGCAGTTTGCTGTGTTTGAGAATTATCATTTGAATCACCATCATACAGAGAAATACAAGAACTTGACTGATACAGCGTGGGAATGGATGTGAAGATTTGCTAGCAAAACTGCAAAAGCAACAGGGACTTTTTACCAAGCTTTAGACATTAAGGGATGTAGCAGACATGGTGAGCTTTGCCATAAAGTTTTTGGGGTTTTTTTGCCATAAAGTTGTATAAAACAGTTAGTAAACAGTTCTCTCATGGTGAGTTTATCAAAAAGTATTTCCTGGACACTGCTGTGCCAATATGACCTGAAAAAAGACGCATTTGAAAATGTGCCCTTCTCTAGTCAATCCAAACAATAAGACGAACAATAAAGATGTTGCAGGAAATCAGGAGCATCAGTTTAAAAACAAACTGGACAAATTTGGCCTTTTCTTCTTGGCAATGGACAAGTGTTGTGACGTTGACGACAAAATGCAGTTATTCATCTTTGTGTGTAACAAAAGAGTTCGAGATTATGGACGAGCTGGCAGAACGCATTCAATGAAAGAAATCACTCAAAAGGACTAATTTGTTCATGGAGCTAAATGCTTGGATAGGTTTGGGCTGAAATGGGACAGGTGATGGTGATGATGATGATGATGATGATGATGCAGGTAACTGATGGGTGGACAAACTGGAAGAATTATCAAAAGTTGGATTATATAGACTTTTTAGGCCAGTGTGACAGAAATGACCACAAAACTGAAATGAATATCTTCTGCAAATAAAGTAATAAAAACAAATAAATAGCCATGGAAATTGTATTTCGGTTGTTTGCTGTCAGAAATGTGTAGTTTTTATTTTAATATTTGGAAAGAGGAAACAGGAAGTGCAGAGAACTTTGCATGACTGCACTAGTGTGTTTTACAACGTCTTTTTTCTCACTCTTTACAAGTGTAGTAGTTTCATATCTTGTAGTCTATAACCTAATGATACAATTGTATTACTTCTACAGGATGCTTATTTTGTACTGTGCGTTGTTAGTGCTTAACTACACTTACCTGTGGGTTATGTGACAGTCTATTAAGTCTGTCAATCTTTTTATATGTCTTTCTAGTTTCACTCCAGTTCACTGATGTCAGTACATTGTGATTGCTGTGTATCACCATTTTTACATGCTGTAGTGCCATTTTTTAAGCATTTCAAGTTTCCGTACATCAATACAACCGTGAAGACCTCTCTAAATATTTACAGGAAAGGTGATGAATAGCACTTGGATCAAATTTAAGCCCTCCCATTTCAAAATGTAAACTAACACACACGTGTAAGCGGTACATCCAGCAAAAGTTATTTTGACTATAACCTCAACAGTGTTCTCTTATGTATTTTAAAAACAAAGATTAATGCTGCTAAGCATTCTGTTACTTACCAAGGGGCTACAACTGGAAACCCATTTTATGATTGTCTGTTCAAAATATTCCCACGGTTGCACAGACAAATATTAATGGGTTATTTTGACACAAAGAAAACTTGCGACCAGTGTCTGATGTGAGGAGACAATTTTTTTTTTAGGTTTAGTAGTTCAGTAGTCAAGAGGATGAGGGCTACCTGTCTCTTGAGAGACACCAGCTCCATATCCAGCTGACGCAGAAGGGTGTTTGCAGCGGAGGAACTGCAGGAGACGGCCACAACATCCTCCTGGGTCAGGTACATGCCTTTGGGGGGACGACAGCGGGAGCGTTGGTGATGCCGGTGCTGCAGGGTCTGATGCTCCCTCCGACCCAAAGCTACCTTAGATCCTGGCACTGGGGGCTCTGCCTGGTTCTGAAGGTAAGAGAATGATTTTAAACATTGATAAAAGTGTAGTTATATGAGGCCTTAAAAATAGCATTGACAACTAACATAAATGCAGAAGCAGTGAATAAAAAAGCGAAACATACGCCATCACTCAATAATCTGTCAGCCTAGCTTTAGCAGCAGTAATTTGAAATATAATGAATATATCTTTCATTTTGTTATGGAGGAGTTGTCACCCACTCTTCTTTACAAAATTGCTTCAGTACATTGAGGTTTCATGTCTAACAACACCAACATACAAGTAATACAATAAAGATTAATACAGAGAGCACACCTCACGCAGCAAAAGATACATGTCATGGGACTGACTGAATCAGAGTTTGCATAAACTGCACAATCAACACCACTAATGACCACCTTCACACATTCTGGCTCTGTCCACCAATACAAAACGTCTGGAAAGAAACAACTACCAAATTATCCCACATCCTTGACCACAACATCCCACAATGCCCCGTTCACTGTTTGGTGATCTAGAAGAAGCATAAACTCCAAACAGATCAGAACACCTCTTCTTGTGGCCCTGATTCTCACCAAGAAAACAATCAAAATCAGAATCGGAATCAGAATACTTTAATAATCCACAAGGAAATTATCTATAACAATACTGCTCAACTGGAAAAACAGGAAAAAGATCACCACTGCCACCGCAGAAATCAACAGACCAGGGCAGGAGAAGGGAAGAGTACAAAAACCCGCTCTGAAGTTATTATTTCCTATTTTTTATTTATGTTCTTTGTTTTCGTGTACTCATTTTGTCTTACTCCAGTACAGGATAAAATATCTATGCATGTCTTCAGATGAACTAAAAGAATATTGGGTGACCCCCCCCCCCCCAAAAAAAACAAACAAACAAACAAGCAAACAAACAAAAAAACAAAACCCCAAAACAAAACAAACCAAAAACACATAACTGCCAAGAAGGGAAAAAATGTAACCTAACATATAACCCTGGTGTGAATGGTTTTCTGTCTCTATGTGTTAGGCCTGTGGCAGACTTGCCACCTGTCCAGGTTGTCTGCTGGAACTGCTTGCATACTCTTGCAGCATGAGGCCGGGCACTGTTGTGCACCAGAAGGACCCCCACGACCCTACGCCTGACAGTGGGTCCAAGGATGCCCAAATGATATACTGGTACCCTTGCCTGGCTTGTAGAAGTCTGCGTATCCCTCCATGGATATACTTCTCCAGACCATCACTGATCCATTACCAACTCAGTCATGCCCAACTCTTGGTATTTCAGATACTCTGATTCAACAATGTTCCTTTGTTTTTGTGAGCAGTATATGGTAAAGTTTCATTTTAGTTTTCAAAAAAAATGGAATAAAGTGTGTTCAAATTACCTCTTTCTTAGCTTCCTTGCTGGGGTCATAGTCACTGTCGTTGGCTTCAATGGGATTGGCATCCTCTATCTCCTCATCACTGCAGCAACAATAAGCCAAAATCCAATCACTGGATGTCGTCACACAACAGCAACCTCACACCGACGCAGCAGAATCCAAAACTAACTCTTTGTGAGCTTACGTTCTTAGGTAACTGAAATGATGATGGATGTCAGTCAATAAAAACAGACACATTAAGTAACAATTTTAATGATTTTTCATATTTAAAAAAATCTCAAGGGCATGGGTCTGCAATGGTTTCTGCATAAAAATTCCCAAAATGTCCCAGGAAAGTTTCAATTTCCAGACAGGGACAGGTAGGTCTGACTGTGAGACGGGCTTTTTGCTTAACAAATGCTCTCTTGTCGCCCTAGATTTTTTTAACTGAGGTATGTCCACAAACTGTCCACAAATGGGTGTCAGAGTGCTTTGTGCTTTGAAGAGACAAAATGCCTTCTTTTCAGCAAAGAAAAGAGAAAACTTATTTTTTTCTCAAAACAAAGGACTATAGTCAGATTCAAGGAGTAGTGTTGATATATGTGCTGTACCTCTCATCCTGGTTGCTCCTATTGGCCAATTTACGAGCCTGTCTGTCCATCAGACTTGTTCTGGAACGCGTCTTTTTCCATGAATAGTAGTACTTCACCAGACTGGAGATGGATTTGTCCGGTAACTGAAGCAAAAAATAAATAAATAAAATAAAATAAACAAAACACGTGATATTTTCATAGAAACAGTACCTCAAAACTGTTTGTACAGTACCCTCCCCCAAATCTTTATGGCCATAATAAATTTGTTAATATCAGAAACATTACATTACTGTATCAGAAACACTGATGTTGCTGTGTTAAGTGGTTACCATCTGCTGGATGCGGTGAAAGCTCTTTCCGTGGAAACTAAAGGCCTGTTCAAACAACACTTTGTCCTCCACTGTCCACTCATCTGGGAACGGGGTGAAATTTGGCAAGTCGGCCAGAGATTTCTCAATATTGTGTTTGTGCCAGAAGAGCATGCCAAGAGCCTGAAGACACACACACAAAGGGTTACCAAAACACAGATACCACAGGCTTAAAGCAGCAACCGCCTAGGCTAAAAGATGAAGCCATTTGGCCAAATCCCATGTTAATTAGCAGGTGCTCATTTTACTCACTTTAACTCTGTAGCTACTGTTTTGCTTTGTTACTGTTCTCTACATGAGTTTGAAATAATGACCTAATGGTAGTCATACACCAGCTGTCATTCTTCAACTGTGTAAAAGTATTTTACAGATAAACAAGGAAATGGTTTGGCATAATCAACCTACAGTAAAGCCAAGTTCATAACAACAGTTCTGCTGTTTACTTAACTAATAGGATATTTTCAAGACATAAAAACTATTTCAGTAGCCTCTTTACACTCAAATAGTCTTGCTAATGATGGGGAAGGATTCTGGGCTGTCTGCTCTCACTTTTAGAATCACCATGCCAATTGAAACATGCCCAAGTGCCAAACTATTAACAACCACTTGTTAATAGTTTGGTCATTTTTACCCTTTTGCATTTTGACAATCATGTAACTATGTTAAAGTAAAACATCATCATCTTATATTTCATGACTTTTTTAGAAGGAATTTATATATTATATGGTGAATTTGGGGACGTGTGGGATTGAAAAGAATTGCCAACAATGTCATTTTGACCCCATAGAAATTCATGTAAAACAGCAAACGAGACTTGGGTGTGGAAAACTATCGAGAGTAGATCAGCCAAAGCTGCTGGTCTGTGTCTCAGGCCTGAGGAGCAGAGTTCTGGAGTTGAAGAGCTACAGACGTGTGATGAAGCAGTGTGGATCATGGATGAGAGGCTGCAGACTTGGTGACGTGGAGGCATTTGTGGACAGTCTTGTTGTTGAGTGTTAAA